CTCATCCGCACCAGTCAGCCTTGGACACCGCAGTGAGAACGAGGCAACGCACTTCAAGGATGCTCCCTTGGCTCAAAGCAGCAGTCCGTCTCTCGTTGTCCGATAGGTAGTTTACCAGGTCAACTGCTCCTTCCCACGTCTTCATCCCACCCTCGTACAGACCCGGGCGCACGTCGCTCCGTTCGTTAAATACCTCTTCAAACTTGCGTTCGTCCACCCCACTGATGTCGCGCCGATGCTCATCCTCGGTATCATGAAGAATGTCGGAGGTTGAAGACTGTGAGAAAGCCGAGGCGAGAATGGACAGTCTTGCGTCGTGGAAGTCCCTGCGTGGAAGGGGAAGAGGCAGGGACGAGAGGACAGTGTAGCTGAGCTCGACCGGCAGGACGCGAATCTAGATGACTAGGCTAAGCACTAGATGTGTTAAGGTGATGGAACGAAGCCTGCGCACCAAGTCCTCAAATGCGATCTCACGAGAAGGGGCCAGGACAGTCCCAGTATGGGAGAATGACGGGTTGGGCGGACATGGATAATAAAGAATGGAAGAGTGCGCGTCGCCGCCGTCAGTATTATTTTCTTGCTCACTGGTGTCGAAGGACCAGTTGAATTGGAACATTAATTAGGTGGGAATTTGTTCAGTAACGAGTCGGGTGTGTGGACGTTTAGTGACAATTTTGGGGAAAGATGCGCCCCCTTCGTCGCTTTCCCTCCTTACCCATCATCACATAACATAACGGTCACCATCTCCTCAACAGTCTCTGCCACCAAATATGAACGCCCTGTCTGTTCCACGGCCGACGTCTTTGTAGCAACATTACCAAAAGCCTTAGCACGCAGCTAGTAATCGTCAACTCCTGAGAGCACCAACAGAATAATGCAAGCGGGAGACCGATCTCCTCGACCACGGTCTTGTGCCCACCAGCTCGCCATGCCGCTTGCATCTCTGTCTAGAATTCTCAAACTACCGCTTATTAAGTAGCGGGGATAGTTGGACGCCACAAGCAGGAAACATAGTTTGCACGTATGTACCTCTTACACTTCTGCTGTCATACGCTCAATTCTTTACTGGTACTGGTATCAACTCATTAGAGTTGTGCGCTCTGCAGCGGATATAGTATGCATGCGAGCCTTGGCTTCTCTCAAACTCCGACTCGTCGTCAACTGCTTGCTTCCCCACCGCCGTCAATCCCAGCATCCGAACCATCCCACCTGCTGCTCGCCAACCCGGAGTGCCAATTGAATCACCCTCCCTTCAGCTTATACCTGTGTACAGCCTCTTGACTGAGACGGCTCGGCCAGCTGACTTACGCATCGCCGTTCACGTTTGATCATTTGTGGGGGGACCGATTGAAGAAGGGGTGGCCAGGGGGAGGGGAAGGGCTGGACATATACGACGACTCCCTGCTTACGCAGACTCTTTAGCAACGAGCACCAGATATGTGGACGCATCTCTATGACGGGCTCTGGTCTGGTGCGATCTCTATATACCCAACCCGACATTACCTATCCCATCGTCATGTCGCCGGAGACTGACCCAGCTTCAGCGCACAGCAACTTGTTCTGTGCTGTGCATACGCTCCGACGGCTACCTCGCAAACGCGTCTTCTGTTACACTTCGAGTGAGATCGATTGCATACAGGGGAGGCAAGTTGTGATGGACACGATGACTCAATATGAAGCTGCCTGCGAAACGCTTCGGTTCTGTGCACTGGTAGTCAAGATTCCACGTGCTCACGATCGACATTTTTGTGCCTCAAAAGCTCGTTAAGAAAGGCAGCGCCCTCACGTGCTGGTCGCTCTTCCTCCCTTCGTATCACATCTTTCGGTGCTGGACACCGACACGCTTTATGTACCCAATCGCCATCAACCATACAACATTTCTCATGCGTGCCGCTACAGTCCTTCTCAGCGCTCTTGCGGCAGCCTCCCTCGCCGCCCCCATCCTCCTTGGTCGCGACCCGAACGCCTTGGAAGAACAAGCTGTTCTCAGCGGTATGCAGCCCGCAATCGACGCTAGGAGCACGTTCGATACTCGCTCAGTCGACCAAGACACAACTATGGAGTTGGAGCTAGCCAAACGTGGCAAGGCCGAAAACAAACGTGGCAGGGTCCAAAACAAACGTGGCAGGGTCCAAAACAAACGTGGCAGTGTCCAAGACAGTACCCTTAAGCAGGTCCACAAGCACGAGACCGGGTGGTGGGGGTGGCTCCGCAGAAAATGGATTGCAAAGAAAAGAAGGGAGCCTGAGACGAAGAAAAAGGAGGAGAAGAAGGGCAGGCAGATGAGGACGAGAAAGAGGCAGAACAGCTGTACTGTGCGGTGTGACTACGACTAAGACTTGTCGACTCGGGTGTGGAGGAGAGGTACTGGATCGGAGGGTGAGTAGGATGCAGGTAGAACGACTAGTATATCCGTCCATTGTATACCATCAACAATAGGCAACTAGCATCAATACCTTTTACAAACTACCTCAGTATCTTGAGAAATCTCGCCATAGGTGCTGGTCGCGCAAGTCATTCGCCACCTACACCCGTGTCTACGTACCCGATCGACATCAAATAACCGATATCCGAGTTCTCCATGCGATGCGCACCTGGACACTCGTCCTGCTCGCTGCGATGGCCGCTTCCTCCCCCGCCGTCGTCGTGCTCTTTGGACGCGACTCTCCAGCCTGGAAGATCGAGCCACGTTGAGCGATATGCAGCCCCTCATCAGCGCGAAGGGCTGCTATTGCCGTGCTTTGGTGAGGTAGCGGCTGGAGGGGGAGGAAGGGAAGGGGAAGGAGGAGGGGAGGGAAGGGCAGGGAAGGAGAAGACGGAGAAAAAGACGAAAGACGAGAGATAGCAATGGGTATCGAGACCTTTCGGGCTGACGTTTGACCTGGGTTGGGAGGGGGTCGTTGCAAGGAGAGCGATTGGTGTGTCTTCCAGACAGGGCTAGGATGGTCCCAAGCTTTGATATCGACCACGAGCAATATCGAGGATGGTATTGATATCCTCTCCCAGAGTCATTCTCCTGATATCCGAACTTCCTTTCTTGCTGATGGATGATTCGGCCTCGATGTGTATCAAGATGAAGCTTGCAGTCGGACGAGTACTCATATTATGTTATGCTCCCTATGATGAGTGATGTACGAACTCCCATGCGCTGGTATGCGATGCGTCTACCTGCTGTTTGCTTGACACATCCTGTTCGCTCTGTATCATAGCATGACGGGTAAGAGGAAAATTGGCCCTGCAGGGAACGTGTCTGAAGTCTGAGTCGTGGGAGTTGTGATACCCAGATGCAAATTGAGGATCGGTCAATGTCGCAACTGAACGACAGACAACTGGGTATTCTGATAGTAGATCAGTCCGTCTGGGGCGTTACTGCGGCTCTGACAGAAGGCGCAATAAGGAGTAATTTCCTCCGATAGCACTTTTTCGGAGGCAGAGTCCCTAGAATGGACTGCCGGGCCCTATTTCCTCAAATCGGCCATGTGCCTGCCCGAAGCAACACCCTACAGTCCGATTAAGGAAGGTGGTGGTAAGAGATTAACACTACCGGAACTTTTCACGGCGTTTTTCTTTTCATACAGTATGCCTTACGTGCCGCTTCTCATATGGGAACTTGACCTCGATGATACTGTAAACCCGCCGCCACAAAAACATTATATTGGCCGTCGCACTGTAAAGCGGAAATAATTTACCACCACCTCCGAAAAAGTGCTATCGGAGGAAATTACTCGCGCAATAAGGTACCCGATGCTGTCTCTTGTATCCAGGGCGCGACACAGATTGCCCCCTAAATGAGGGAAGCGAATGCACGTGAAAGGGAATAAGGCGGCGGAATGAGAGCCCGATCGATATTAAGCTCTCATCATGAAGAGAAGACTAGTGATGATCGGAAGACATAGAATGTAAGAGGAATGTTTCGGCATGATATTATTCTAACATTGGAATGTATCACCGTTATTCGCTTCCACACTCCAACATAGGAGTCTCACATTTCAACTTTTCTCTCTTTTCTTTCCACCATTCACACCTCATTCACCATGATCCTCCTCCCTCTCCCTCCTCATCCTCCATCTCAGAGTGAACAATACTACACTCATATCACCCACTCTCTCTCACTCTACCTCTCTGCTTTAACAGCAAACAGACCATTTCATGTTCTCCCATCATTGGCATCACTCGACAGCGAGAGCGGGACAGCCGTGCTCCAAGTCGTATTCGAAGATGATGGTGAGAAGTGGGGAGTGAGAGCATGGTTCACGCAGAGGGAATGGGCATGGTTCACCTCTGGAGGGAAGGGGCTGCCGTCTTTTGCTTCTTCTTCCCCTGACATGGAAGAGGAACATGCTTGCCGACTCGCTCACGCTCAAGCACTCTATTTCACACACGAGCGGCTTGCGCTCCTCGCTTGTTACACAGGGTACCCCATGCTCTGGGGAGGCGTGAAGTCTCTAGGGGAAAACCTGCCATGCGTGCAATGCAGCACCCTCTCCCTCTCCGGGTCAGTCGGTACCCGCTGGGCACAAGCGCGCTCCCAAGGCCGGGAAGGGCAGCAAGCGAGGGAAGGGAGAGAAGGGCGGGAGAGACTGTTACAGGAGTTGGCGAGAAGTAGGGCTCAAGCTGTCAGAGGGAGCTGGAGAGCGGGGGGGTGGTATGCCCGGAAAGGCGGAGAGGAGTGGGAGGGTTGGAAGAGGAGTGGTGTTGGGGGTTGGTTTGATGCCCGCTTACGGGAGGGGGAGCGTGCGAACCTGGGACAGGAGGTAGAGGTAGAGGTGGAAGTGGAAGTGCTGAGAGGGGAAGTGAAGAGGCTGCTCCGACAACTGGGCATTGACCAACATCAAGAAAAGAGCGTATTAGGCGGAGTACCGATGCTCGCCCATCCCATCCTGGACGGGGAAACAGTCTGTGCAACAGACCACTGGGGTCTTGTGTACGTCTTTCCCTACTTCGAGAGTGGAAACTGATTGGATATAGGTTGACGGTGGAGAAGGACGCTCCGGTGCCTATTCCCGTATGTATGATACTCGCTATGCCGGCGCTGCTCCGGCTCCCTCCCCGCCCAAGGAACACCACCGATATGGGCAGCAGCAGCACTCCCAGCACTCCCAACTCCCCTAACACTCCAAATCGACACCCGACCTCCCCAGCTAAGGTCGTCCTGAGGCCCAGGACACCCTCTTTGCCCTTATCGCTCACTCCGGTTGTGGAGGATCAAGAGCCCGACAGACGGAGGAGGAGCCGGAGTCCTTTCCCCCTCCCCCTCCCTCTCCCTCTGCCCCTATTACCGAAACTCCCTTTCCCCCTCCCAGCCCGGGCGCGTCAACCGAGCGCCAGCTCCCCGCTAGATAGAGTTCGCGGGGGGAGGGCGAGCGAGGGGCAGCTGAAGTGGGAAAAGGAGAGGGAGAGGGAAAAGGAGGAAAGGGAGGTGTTGTGGGAACGACAGGTTTATGTACGGGCGCTGGTGCGTTGGTTGAGGGAGTTTGGGCTGATGGGGCTTGATGGTGAGGAGGGCGCGACGACTGGGGGGAGCTTGGCGCAGTCCTCGAGTGCGCCAGAACAAGCAGAGGGACGCAGGAAGATGCCTGACGGTGAGGATGTTGATCCTGGGGCGACATCCAGCCAGTCGCCGACACCCACGTCCATCATTCCCGCGCATACAACAAGCCCCAACCCCAACCCTAGCCCCAGCCCCAGTCTCAGCCCCAGCACGCTCTCCCCAACCCCCGTGCTACTACAAGAATCCGACGTGCGCACCCTGCTCATGGCCGAATATGCCCAAGCTGCGTTCCTAGCGGCGTCCGGTCTTGGAGGGAGGGCGGCGTGGGAAGACTGGGTTAGGCTTTGGAGGGAGAGGGAGAGGGGGGAGAGGGTACGTGGGGGGAAGAGGGTGAGAGCGGGTGGGGAGGTGGTGGGAGTGGGGGGTGTGGGGGGAGGGAGGATGAGAGAGCTGGGTATGGAGCCGGATGGTGATGCTGGAGAGAGGCATAGGTGGACGAGGAGTGAATGGAGTTATCATCCTCACTCTCAGTCGCAGTCAGGAGCGCGCGTCCCGAGTCTGTTGGCAAAAGGGGCTGTCCATGCGGACGGGGATGAGGAAGGGGAGGGGGAGGAGTCAGCCCTTGCGCCTAGGGGAGATGGAGCGGGAGATGGACGCAGGAAAGCGGTCGGCACTTGGCTCAGGGGGGTCGTACAGCCGCAGGAGGGGGTGGAGGAAACGCACGAGCTGGGTGAGGGAGGGGAGATACAGCAGGGCGGTTCGGAAGATTCCCCGCGCACGACCTCTTCAGAACAGGATATTCCAACCGATCCCGATTTCTATCGCGACACTGATACAGAGTTCGACCCAGCAGAATTTGTCGATCCCCAAGAGGTCGCTGTACCGGTGGAGGAAGAAGAGGAAGAGGAAGATGGGGACCTCCGGGCTCAGCTGGCTGGGGTGGATGACGGGAGTACGCGGGCGGCGGAGAACGATTCCTTAGGCTCGGGGGGGCGGGTTACTGCTAGCTCTGTGGCTTCTGGAGAACAAGGAGAGCTGGGAGAAGCAGACCATGGGTTGGCAGAGTTGGAGTCCCTGGCGGACCGCGCTACACTGGATCAGAGGCGGTCGCTCAGCCCCGAACTTGCAGAACTGAGGAGGATCAGAGCAGCTCTCTTCCCTTCCCCTAGTCGGTCGACGTTCTCCGACCTCGAAGGGACTTCGGCGCCATCGGAAGCCCCGGACCCGGATGTCGATTCGCCGATGCGAGAAGAGATGCCCGAGCTTACGCGGTCGCCTGATACAGCGAGTGGGGCGCTCTCGCCCATGACCTGGTCTAGCGAGCCTGTCCTCCCCCTGCACGGCTTTGGGCACGCACATTCGAAGGTCAGCACACCGGACTTTGTCGTCTCCCTCGCTGGGGATCGGCTGTCTTTCCTCGACACGGAGGGAGACGCCGGCTGGTTGGATATGCAACACGAGCGATCGCGTGAGCTTTCCCCCCCGTCGGCGAGTACGAGCTCCATCGCCACGCGCCCGTTCCTGCTTCCCCGAATGATGGAAGAATACACGAGCGACTCGGACGTCAATGACGACGTTTTCGGCACGTGTCTTTCCCCTTCGTACCCCACCCTCTCCCGGTCAGTGTTCGAGAGCAGGACTCCAGATTTTCGAGCGGCGCCCGCTACTTACTCTGTTCACGTATTGACAGAGGAACAGGAAGAGAGCGATTCGGAGCTGCATACCGCTTTCGCCCCTTCTGCTAGGCAGAGCCGGAGTCCTTCCGCCTCCTACCCCGCCCTCTTGCACCCTGCGGCAGCGCAGGAGTCCGACACTTACGGGGGGATGCTTGGACCAAACCCGGACCGACTATCCATCGTATCCTCCAACAGCAGCATGTCAAGCCTTGGCACACTGGTCGGCCCAACGTCCGAAGCGTTCGTTGTCCAACAGTGGGAGCTTGCGACATCTCCCGACGCCGACGTCAGCGTCGATCCAGAACGCGACGAGAGGGCAGAAACACCTCGGCCGGCACCTACGCCCAGCCAGAGTAGGTCCACCAGTCGCACACCCAGCACAGCTAGCAACTCCAGTAGACAGACGAACCGCATCCGCCGTGTGCCCGTGCCGGCGTACATCCCCGAACTGGAGTTTGAGCGCGAGTCGGAAGATAGTGACGCTGCTCGGATGGACAACGTTGGCAGGCCGACACCAGATGGGAGCGTATCTGCTGGCATGGACACGCCTATTCATGAACACGGGTTTGATTCTGGCTCGCCTACGACGCCTTCGTCAGCGAACGGCATGGAAGACGTGGACATCGTTAGTTCCAGTCCGGTATCCGCGATAATGGGCCACGCGAAGGAGATGTGCTTCGAACTAAGCGTTGATGCTCCCACTCGTCCATCCCTTGAGAAACGGGCCTCTCTCCCTGCTCCGGTGGGTGTAGACCGCAAGTACAGTGTGCGGGAAAAAACTCGGCGGGTGTGGAGTGGTATGCGTGCTGTGAAGGTGAGAGAAATGGTCCGACGCATCACGTAGCTACCTATTTTGGTGTTGACCGCCTGATGCGGAATTGTGTTCATCCCCTGTTGGGTATTGTGTTTGTATCGTGTAACCCGTACTGTAGAGCTCTTGAGGAGCCCAAACATGTATTTTTTGCCGCGTTTCGTAATTGTCAAGACAAGAAATTCTATTGGAAGTAGCTGACAATAGCTACATTAAACATCCACACGGGCAGCCTCATACATGCAAAAATGAAAGTGAGTCGAAGATACCTGTGCAAGTGGCCGGACTTGCAGGAAACCTTCGCAACTACGTAGAACTTTCAAGCGGACACCCAGCTATTGACAGACGCTCCCCGCTTCATGGACACGACATGGCACAAACGGCAAGGAGGCCGCCTTCGTGTGCGGCCATTGTCAAATTCATAGCAGGACTCGGAGAGCGACCGCGAACAGTACGAGCACGTATGCTTGCGACCAGTAGGCGTGGTCAAGATGTCCAGGGGTAAGACAATCCAGATGCGCCTGGATTCATACGCGACCGACTGCGCGCGCGTCTGGAACATGGTCAAGTACCGGTCGGACATTTGGGCGAGGCTCGACAAGCCGGAGGGTGTGATCCAGCGCTTGTCCTGGAAGGTATCGTAGAGCTTCCCCAGCAGTTTGATGTCTTGGGCCGCGTATGCGATGAGGCGATCAGATAGAGGACGCTCCATCCAGCGATCCGATCGACCAATCTTGTGCATCTTTTGCACATAGGCTGAGGTTGAATCAGCGCAGAACGCTGGTGAAGACTGGAGATAAACGCACGATCTTTGGTGAACTCCTTGTCCAAATCCAGCTGCTCAAGACACTTCTGCATCCCCAGCACTAGATGCAAACCCTCGAAAAGGTGCGCCTGGCCGGAGACGTTCAGCGAGCTGAAGAACCCATCCTTCAGGCGATAGAGCCGAGTACTGTTTTGTTCTCCTCTGACTGCGCCGCGGGAGACGATTTCGGCAAGCTGCAGGTCCAGCGCTCCTTTCATGGACACACCCCAAGAGATAAGCATCTCGAGGTAGTCCATTCGCCCGTCCCAGACAACCTTTCGAATTGACTCGTCTTCGAGGAGCTTGGCGAGGCCGCTGGAGGCCACGATGGACTTGGTCACGGAGACGGCGTCAAAGACGAAAATCTTCCCCGCATGCGGGGTGCCGATGCAGACCAGAGACAATTTTCCGTCGACGCGCCCCAAGCTTTGTCCTTCGGAATCCAGGATCACATATTCCGAAGCCGTAAGGACGGCTGTGGCCTCTGCTACGGCTTCCTCAGTGGTGCAGTATATGTATACTTTCTCTTCTTCCACGCTGGTGGCAGCCATCGCAGCAACGAGAGATTCGATTGTTGGGGTGGACATGGTGGAGACGAGCTGAAGCGTCGAGGCGTGTTGGTAGATGGCTCGCAAATGCCTGGTAGATAAGGCGCCCCAATGCTCCTATATCAGCCTTGGTGTCGATAACAAGAATACAAGCTCGGATTTTGGCGCATTTGCAACCGCACGTGGTCTTGGGCGTATATTCCAACACTTCGGAGCCGATTCATCAACTGGCAAGGTTCCATCCGGATCGGAAGCAGGGAGATCTCATCAATGCGTGGAGAAGGCGAAAGAAGCGCTGGACTTGCCTTATGGGGACCCAATTCCTTGCTGCATCAAGTTCCGGCCAGCCCTGTTTGAGGGCGATGATGTAGCACAACCTGCAGAGCGCATGCCTGACTTCCGCCGAACTACCGGTCTGTAGAGCGAAGCAAGACTTGGACAGAGTTCGCGAACAGAGCTGACAGCGGTGTAAGGTTCCCTTGGGCTCCACGAGGATATCGAGTGGTAAGATGACCCAAGCTCGGCGGCGATTATGCGCTACAGACGCCTCGCGGGATTGAAAGAGCGATGCATAGCGGGCTGACTGATCCATTAAGTTGGACAGATGTTCGGGAAGTATCCAACCCATGATAGTGAACGTCTGGAAGAGGAGTGCGATCAAGCGGATGTCTTGCGCTGCGTAGGCAACCAGACGCGCATCCAGTGGACGGTCTAGCCAGCGATGGGTTTGAGTTGCGGAATGCATGACTTGGACGACAGCTGATTGAACTCAAGTTACGACAACACTGTGCGACACGCAGATGCACATACGATCTTTCTTAAAATTTTGTCCAAGCTGAAGCATATCCAAGCATGATTGCATGCCGATGACAAGATGCAGGCCGCTGAAGTGCCAGGACATGGACCTCACGAACCCCTTTCCGAAGAAACTCTGTTGTAGTCTTCTGATACAATCAGATTCGCCTTCACCTCGGACAGTGAATCGCGAAACCACCTCTGCAATTTGAAGATCAAGCATTCCGGCAATCCGGATCCCGAACTGAGGAGAATCTCGAGATAGTCCATCCGTCCATCACATGACCTTGACTACAGTCTCGTCTGCGAGCAGGCTAAGGAAGGCGTCCACTACCGGCGATCTGGCGCGTAATGACACCGCGTCGAACACGTATATGCGCTCCGCATGTGGGGTGCCGACATAGATGAGCGAGAGGACGCCGTCTTGTCTCCCGAGGTTTTGGCTCTCACAGTCAAGGATGAGATAATCAGCTTCGCGCAGAGATATTACCGCTGGTACAAGAGTGTCGTCAGAAGCACAGAACACGTATCCTTCGTTAGACATGACTTGAGGTTCGACATAGAGAGTTAACCCAAGAATACGTTGCTAGCATCTTGGACCGGTAACTCGGTATCGGCTTTATCGGCTTAAGATGCCTCCGTTGAGCGCACGTCGGAGTTGAACCGTCCATAGGGAAACTCCGATCTCGGAGTAAATGTAGCTACATGTTCGCAGTCATTAGAGATACAGTATGAGCCACGAAACTAAACGCTAGAAAATGCTGAGCCCGCATCAGAGCGTCACCCGCTCCCAGAACGCCCTCGCCTCCTTCCGTACCCTCCATCCCTCCCCATCACGCACACAGTCATTCACCCTCTCCAACCGCCGACACACGCGCCCCAACACTTCGGCCTGGGTGGTGAGTTCATACGGAACCAAGCTGGACGCTGGACAGCGGACGCGCGTCAGGTTGGGTAGGAGGGATAAGGCATCAGCGATGATCGTCTGTCTTATGTTAGGGGGTTCAGCGCAGAGGAGGAAAAACATACCAGTGCGTTACCTGCAGGGAGGTTCCAAGCGAAGACGACCTCCTCCACCCCCGGACAAGCACTTGCCACGGGAACCAGATACCGGCTCCCGGAGATCCCGTTGCTCAGGTCGATCCAGGTGAGTGTCCTAAGCGTCTTCACCTCCTTCAGCTCTGCGCAGAAGGCAGACAGCGCATCCTTCTCGCCGTATCTTCGCCCAAGGGCCTGAGCGCACACGGCCAGTGACTCGAGCGGGCGCCTCCTGCCGTCCGGGAGGTGCTGGACGAGCCGTATGAAGAGCTCGGGATATCCATAGTACCGGAGGTCGACGTCCCTCGCATTTGTCAGGGCTTCTTCTGGAAAGTCGAATTGCAGCCCGCTTGAGGTATGGAAATGGAACCTCTCTAACCCCGGGTGAGCGGCGAGGAACGTCCCTATGTGAATGCTGCCGTGGACGTTAAGCACCTGGCAGGATTGGAGCTGGGGAAACCGGAGATGCCAGAGAGAGGTCGAGGAGGTGTCTTCTTGGGAGATGTTGAGCTTGAGGGAGCGGAGTGTGGGAGCAAGACGTAAGAGGAGGGATGTGAGAGCGCGGAAGAGGTCTGTACCTGGGGGATGTCAGTCCAACAAATGGGAGTGTGTGAAAGGCGCACTTTGAGATAGGGCAGAATACCAATCGAACTCTTCAACTTCGGGGATGTCGTCCAGCACCTGACTAGATGTGAGTAGGAAAGAGGATGCCGCGTGCCCACTCACCGAGATCGCCTCCTTCGCATGTGCCCGGAAACGGTACATGAATCCCAAGTACTGCTGCATGGCAATACTCTGCAACGCACTCGTACGTCTCACAATATCCAAGAAAGTCTTCCACCTCCCTACGTCACGTACATGCAGCACGAGCGTCCTGAGTCCTGCGAGTCCCAATGCACACTTTGCCCATAGCGCATAATCGATCTCTACAGGATTTTCAACCACCCCATGAAATGAGAACTCGAGCTGCGCGTCCCAGCTCACTCCATGCCCGCAATCGCTACACAACCGATATCCTCGGCCAGTGGTGGTCCACGTGTCTGTCACCACTAGTCGCTTGACCAGACCTGATATGCGGCGGTTGGCGCACAGCTGGTTGAGGAGGGCATGATTCTGCGAGGGGACGGAGATAGAGTGCCAGTACAGGTGGGAGTTGAGGATGAGATCGCCCAGCGCACGGTTTGTGAGTGCGAGGGCAAGGAGGTCGGCCGGATGAGGTAAATGGGAAAGGACATGCTCCAAGATTTCGACCGGCAGATGCTGTATTCCTGTCTGGCACTTCACCAACTGGTCATCGATACGCTGATGAATGTACATGACTGAAGAGGATTGGATAACATAGTGCATTCTCTGTCCATGGAATATGAATAACGGCGTGCAAGACTGCAGTGCGTGCGTGTGACGGTCGGTCATCCCTGACAACGTGACCGTGCCAAGTAAAGCCATATATTCAGTTGGATCATATCAAGGAAATCAGTGAGCGATGAATTTGGATAACGGCTCTCATTGATATACTGGTAATATGTCAAGGTGTCACCTTCCATCCGACAACAGAACATCTTCTCCGTCAGTATCCCGTGCTGCAGGGTTCATGCGCCATCACAACTAGAAGAGGGCACAAGGGAAGGGAGGGGAGATGAACGTTAGTCGAGAGATGAATACGTTGAAGCTACGACAAGTGTGACAACTGCATGGTTGAGACAGGTCAAGGTAAGGAGTAGACTAACGAGCAGCATTCAGATGCGTATTCTCCCTCAATCACGACCGTGAATGTTGATGGCAATGTGCAGTGTCGCTTCGGCCAACGCCGGCCAAGCCGATGTTGCATCCTTGCGCTTACTGTACCGCAGAACAACTCGAGGGCGCACAATCTGGCTATGGATGCTTAGGCTGCTGGGGGTGATACAGATGATCATTGGGGAAAATATGCCCAGAATGATCGCTGGGAACCCGTGGGAGGGACCCCTGTCGGGCCGAGGATCGGCCGGGCACTTGTCGCGCTCATGCCACCTTTTAGATGTGGAACAACATCAGCAAACCGGCTCAGATCCATCTGATACATTGGGCCCGGAATGACCAGCTGAAGTCGTTCGTTGTACAATTGGCGCATCTCGTCTGGCGGCACCCAAAACAGGAGCTCGCCGCCCATCCCCCGGATCCATCCTGTCCGGCTGTCAAACTTCGATCCCGTCGTTACCCTCCGTTGTTGGAACGTAAGGTTGTGTCATCTGCTGTTCATCGTGGGGAGAAAGGGACAGATTGTTCTTGGAGAAGGTCACCACGTCGAGATTCAACTCCTCCTGCTCCTGCTCCTGCTCCTCCTGCTCCTCCTCGTGCTGCTCCTGCTCCTCGTCCTCATTCTCTTCGTCATTCTCCTCGTTCTGCGTCCTGCCCTCTTCGTCTGCCGCAGCCTCCTCGTCCTCCTTTGCCATCTTCAGCTCCGAACGCGTGATCTCATCCCCTGCCGCGCAAGCATCGAGTGTCGCAAATTGATTTGTATGTACCACACCCGCGTTGGACGACTGGGAACTGCTCAGCATGAAAGTGAGAGGCAAAGCTTCAGCATGTGCCAAACACAGAAAACGGTTAAATGGGACTGACCGAACAACAGTACGCCACAATTGTCCTCCTCCATGCCCTGCTTCCGATGGTCCATGCCATGGTGCCAAACTCTCCAAAGCCGAGGAGGTGATGCCATGGCTCCTGGGGGGAGTTGCATACAGTTCTTGCTCACCTCCCGAGGTGCGAGTGAATGCATGCTGCCCAATGGCCGCGCCCGTCTCGGCACTCCAAACCCTTACCGTCCCATCCCACGACCCGGATACGATGCGCTTGCCGTCACCGGAGAAGGCCACAGATGAGACCCAGCCCGTGTGCCCAGTGAGCGGCGTGCCAATAGGTTGACCGGTCTCTGCATCCCACAACCTGACTGTGTTCTCCCTGGATCCGGACACGACACGCTTGCAGTCTGGGGAGAAGGCCACACGGTAGATATTGCTGGCCTGCCCGGTCAACAGGTACTTTATGGATTGGCCCGTCTCCGCATCCCACAGCCTGGCGGTATCCTTCTCGGACACGGACACCAGGCGCGTGCAATCATCAGATAAGGCAGCGAAGGTGAAGGGGATGCGGGACTCTGTGCGGCCATTCAACGGCTTTTCTACAGTCTGGCCAGTGTCCACATCCCACAACCAGAGTTTCCAATCGCACGTTACGGAGGTGATGTGCGTGCCAGCAGCAGAGAATGCCACGCAAAGGACCTCATCGGTATGTCTGTGTGGTTCGCCGATGGGTTGACCACTCTCCACATCCCACACGATTACTGTCTTGTCCTCAGATCCATACGCGATGCGCTTACCATTGGGCGAAATGGCGGCACAAGTGGCACGGCTTGTGTGGCCAGTAAACGGCTCGCCCATCGCCTCCCCAGTCGCGACATCCCATATCCTGACCGTCTTGTCCCAGGATCCGGTTACGAGATGCGTTACATCACGGGAGACTGCCACAGAAGTAACGCATTTCGTGTGCCCTGTGAGCGGACGTCCGATTGGTTGACCAGTCTTCGCATCCCACATCATGATTGTACTATCGTAATGACCCGATACAATGCGTTTATCGTCGGGCAAGAAAGCAACGCACGTGACCCCGCTCATGTGGTGATTCAGGGTCTGGCTAATGCCGTCATTGGGGTCCACGTTCCACACCCTGATCTCATTATTGGTTGCAGATGCGATGCACGTGCTATCTTGGGAGAAGGCAAATGTGGTGACGTAGTCGGCATGCCTGATGAGAGGATCGCCGAGGATCTCGCAAGTGTCGGCGTTTAACAGCTTGACTGCCTTCTCGGAAGCAAATACGATAGAATTGGAATCACCGGAAAAGGCAACACTCCCGAATTGGGGGTAATATTGCGGTTCACCAATGGATTCTCCTGTGTCCGCATTCCAGAGTCTCACCTTGCCAGTCCAGTATTTCGAGACGATGCGCGAGCCGTTATGAGAGAACGTCAAAACCAGTTTATCGTCGCCGTGGTCGATCAAGGGTAGGCAGATGGCTTTCCCAGTCTTCACGGCCCACACCATGACTGTTCCATAGCGGCATATTGCTGCAATCCGAGTACCATCCCCGGATAACACGATCTGTGTGACTCTGTGGTTGAGAGAACACACAACCTTGCTCGTAGGAGCTTCTGTCGACGCATCCCATACTTTGATGCTCGTCTCCGCCGAGGCTACGATCGTCCCTCCGTTGTCGTGCCAGAATCCAACGACAGCGGGCCCAGCAGGCGCAATGAACGGCGCGCCTATCTCATCGCCACACTCCGTGCCCCATATCCTCACCACCTCGTCTTTCGATACCGATATAACCTGCTTGCCGTCCTTTGAAAATCTGGCGGACCTCACTCTATGCGTGTGCCCGGTGAATGGCTGGCCCACGTCTTCGCCTGTTTCTGAATCCCACACCACGACAGAGCTAGGTGAACATGTCGCAACAGCACATATCCCGGTACTTGTGACACCGATACCGGACATGATATCTCCAGGAATGGATACCATGATCCCGGTGGGATCCCCGCCCTCTGCTAGCCACGTCTTCACCCTGCCTTCCTTAGAACACGAGATTACACGTGTCCCATCACGTGAGAACATGACAGAATCAACACGCTCAGTGTGTCCAGTGAGGGGATCTCCGATAGCCCGGCCTGTGCTTACGTCCCACATCCGGACTGTCCCATCATCACATCCGGAGATGATTCGAGAGTTGTCAAGGGAAAACGCCACGCAGGTGACGTCGTCGGTATGTCCCACGAAGGGCCTTCCAATCCCTTGACCGGTACTTGCGTCCCACATTCTGATCGTGCAATCATACGAGCCGGATGCAATCCACCCGCCGTGACGAGAGAAGGCGACGCTGCCGACTAGCCCCGTGTGCCCAGTCATGGCCTCGGCAATGGCCTCGCCAGTGCTCGCATCCCACACTCTGATCGTTCCGTATGCTGACCCTGTGACGATTCGCGAGCTATCATCGGAAAACACAACGGTGGCGACCATTTCCTCGCTGAAGGGTTGCACAATAAGTTCGCCGTTCCTCACATTCCATAGTCTTATTCTTGTGTCGTGCGAAAAGGTAACCATCCGCGAACCATCAGGGGAAAGAATGATGCGCCAGTATTCTTGTAAGTCCGCAGTCCGGCATGCGTAGACCATCTCTCCAGTTGCAACATCCCACACCCGGATCGATCCATCGTCGCAAGCTGCTGCTACGCGCGTCGCGTCGCAGGATAGGGCAAATGGGACGGAGGTTGAAATTGGAAGGTAATCGATTAGAACCTTGCGCATGGCTTTGCCTGTCTCTGCGTTCCACAACGTCAAGATAATCATGGTGGACGGTATGAGAGTGCGTCCGCCATCGTGCCACAAACGAATCGCAGAGCCCAAGCCCGGCCGGCAACACAACGAGTGGCCCATCTTCTCACCAGATGCTGCGTCCCACATCACGATGGTGTTGTCCTCCGATGCTGATATGATTTGCGTCTCGTCGGCTAAAAACGCAACTGAAGCCAACTGTTCGATATGGCCGGCCCTTGTTTTCATGCTGCTTGTAGTACGTGCTTCCCGCAGGCCGGATCCCTCATCATTCTCTAAGTGCCATATCCCCACACCTCCATCGAAGTAACCAGCAACAGCGTGAAGGCCGTTATTTGATATGGCGAGCGAAGTAACAAAACCCCACTCTCTGCTGCCAATAGTTTCGCCCGTCTTAGCGTTCCAAACCACGACAGTGCCCTGGCAATGCAAGATGATGTGTGCAGCATCGTGAGAGAAAGCGACCAAGTCGACCATATGCATGTGTTCAGTCAGCGATTGCCACATAAATTTCCCAGTCGTCGCCTCCCACAACTTGATCATGTGCTCTGCGGATGCGTACATGACATGGGACGTAGTAGAGAAGATCGCTTGAGATGTGGCATATGCACTAGGTTGGATTGGTATATCGCTAATGATAACACCAGTTCGCAAATCCCACACTCTCAGCGTTCCGTGGTCGGATTTCGAGACGACCCGTGTGCTGTCATGAGAGGAATTGATCCAGGTGGGCCACCTTGAAGCGCCCCTGAGTGGCTCACGTTCTGCATGACCAGTCGCTGCATTCCACACATAGATCGTACCTTCCGTCGATACGCAAAGAATCAAAGCGTCGTCAGGCGTGAAGGCAAGGTAAGACACGTATCCACCAGGGTTAGGAATCACATGTCGAAGAGCAGGCCAACTCGTCGATTCGGGACAGGCCAATCGAGCAATCTGTGGATATCGGTACTGATACAGATCTGCAAGCTTGGAACTTCTCGGCGTCCATGGCAACGCCGATATATAAATGTGTGCAGACGACTCGGCAATCAGGCGACCGAACCTGAGAAGGAATTGTCGCGCCTCTCGCGCGATCGGTCTCATGTCCTCCTGGTAATAGTGTCAGCGAAGGCGGACGTATGCAGTGGGAGAACGAACCGGCAACCGTGTCATAACAGCAGTCAGGCCAGGGCTGAGATCACGTGTAACATTTGCGACGCTCGCAGCATCTACCCAGAACAAGATTTTTTCCATGAACAGGTGATGAACCAGTTTGTTCATTTCGGGCCAATCTCCTTCAACTTCCTTTGTGGACCTGGAGAGATGGTAGCACCAATAGACGCATGCGTATTCTAGCTCCTCTGGCACTTTATTCTCGAATCTGTTAGTGGACCGCATCGCCATGTTTGAAAGATATGACGTCTTTATATCGCCCATGTTGAAATGCAGTCTGGTCTTGAGCAGCTTGAGGCACGCTACAGCGAGTCGTTCGTGGTGGCCGGTGGTCCCGATAAAGAATTTGCCTCCTCGTTTACGATCTTGAAGGAACTCGGAGAAGGAGATGTGCAGAGGTCGTATAGGCTCCCCGGGGACGTTGACGCCACTGAGCAATGAACTCAGAGACTGGAGCATCTCGCGCCACGCAGCAGGAGCAGAAGGTTGGGCCAGCTCGATGAGCGTGGTAATCGACCCTATCGGTAAAGGTTTGAACGAGGTGAGGACCATGCCCATCAGGGCTCTGAAGAACTCCAGATGGTCTGCAGCGTCTTCTTCAGAATCATTAGGATTCGGGAGTGCTGGTGTTCGCGGCTCAAACGCATCTTCGAGCACAGCCCGGTACAGATAATCCAGCCCCTTGTCGGGTCGCTTCAGTAAACGCTCGTATCGCATCGCAGCTAGTTCGCCTGGTCAATGCGGCTTGACGTATGCACATGCGACGAATGCCCACTGAAACACACCAGCAGCTCTTCCCGCCAGATCTTTGCACTGATCCTCTGACAGCGTCGTAGGCTTTGAAGGATCGTGCCCTTGGCGTAAAAGGTGCCGAACGTATGCGAGCATATCTGTGAAAAGATGCGTATCATTTTCGACCGTTGGCATTCGTTCCAGGTGGACACCGGGCGTTGAGCCGAGAATAGAGTGGATATCCGGCGACTCTCTCGATATGAACACGAAACGGAAGTATCCAGGAAGTTCCTTCCCTCGGTTCGCGATGATTTCCAGCATTTCCCCTCGTTCATCCGGTGACCCACTTTCATCCACCGCATCCACAATGATCACAATAGGCCCGCTCGCCGTCAGCTTCTGCGCTGGCTCAAGGATGAATTTGTCAAATTGCCGCTGGAGGTCCCGCGTAACACACGTGCTCTTGTCATCCCTGATTGAATCGGAGAGCGCCGCTTTGAAACGCAGGTCGACCCTTGTACAAGTCATGTGCGATATTTCGGAACAGAGCTTCCGTTTGGCGGCTCGCTGCCTCGTTCCTGTTGAAACACAACATCGATCCGAGCTGACCTATCGCTTCAAACCGGCCTGCAAGCGTGTGCGCGATCGTCGATTTGCCCGTCCCAGCGGGTCCAAAGAGGATGAATATCCGTGGAGTTTCAGGCGAAACAGAGCCAATCAATTCCGTCATCCGGTCCAGGAATTCTGCTCGAGTACCGGGCAGACATCGCTTGCTGCTGTTGTACCCGGCCCCGCTAAGGTATGGAATTTCGTTCACATGTATGCTTGCGCCTGAAGCATAATCAGCCACCGCTGATCATTGGGAACACAAACGCACCAATTTGCTCGACCATTGGAAGCATTTGGACTGTCACAATCTCAACGTGGAGCTGTGAGCTTTGGTGATAGTCTTGCATCAGTCCATCAAGCTGTTTGAAATACTGGTCGACAGTATGTTTCATTGTGATTTGGTCTGCCAGTCGAAAGCCTGCAAAAGCATGAGGATCGTCGACGAAAGGAATAGACCAGACGCACGCGATTTCGCATCTGTAGTGTACGTGTACAGGAAGTATGCACAGTCAACTGTCTGGCGCACAAGAAGCGAGAGGGTGTTGTCATGCGCCTTGTTCGGAGCGAGCGTCATCGCGGCACGTAGACTAACTGCGCCATGAAGAATGATGTAGACGAATTTCAGCTTTCCCAGTAGCTCAATGATCTTGTCCCGGTGGGATTGAATGGATTTGTCCATCATCTGTGAAACCCGTCAGGCACAGCACACCAATTGCGGGGTACTCAGAATCGAACCTTGTTAGCAGCCTTGAGGGCCTTGTTCGCTATCTTAGCGAACGACTGAACAGGCTGGATCCCAGAGTCTCCCCCAATGGCAGCAAGCAGCTCAGGATGTTGCTCCACCACGTCAATCAATACTTGTGCATGTGCCAGCGGCGCTTCCCACTCGCTTTCCTGGGATTTTGATGGGATGCTGCTGGTCATGTCGTCTGCCTCGATACGAAGCTTGATGTTGATTCGCTTCTTCACCTTTGACTCAGAAGGGGGAAGAGAGTAATGCCTGCCACGATATGCTCAGGACAAGTCACTCCTCATTCGTGAGCTAACACACCCTGGGTGAGGGCTATCCAGCTGCTCAGTGGCAGCTCAGCAGTGCCCAAATCCTCAACGGGAAGAAACCCGTGATGCCTATGAAGCGTGACGCGCAGCTTGCAGGTTAGACGAGCTTTGCTGAAGCGTATATCAGAATGGGATATGTCGTGGATAACAACATAACAAGCGTACAATTGTGCATGATGATTCTCCCCATCCCAGGTGACAGTGCTCCCCCTCGTGCGGATCTCCTCGGTATCCCATGTCGGCTCTCCATCTACGCTGAATCGCAAGTAGCTTCTGGACTCTGACTCGATCGGCCGACGGTGCGGCAGACCGTCAACAGTAGCGCCTAAGGAATGGTTAGTTGGACGTCTATCGTGAATACAACTCGCAGACATACCCCAGAAGATGTATGTGGCCTTCAACGGCTCGTCCTCACCTGTACCCTCCGCAGTCGTCGTCATCGGATAGAGCGCACTTGGGTTATTGGAGAGGAGGAGTGAGCGAGAGAATGAGAGAGCGAGCGAGCGGCGGTTGATGAGCTGGTAGAAGGGCGATTAGACGCCGAAAAGAGACGGTGTCAACCGCTTGCGGGACAAGGCTTTGTGCTAGGCGAATCCCGAGAGCGTATGCGGGATATTAGATCTACATCGACGGTCGAGCAAACACGAGTCGAAGCTTGCAATCATTCTGATAAGATCGGTCTAGATCGGAAGCGGTGGATGTGGCAAACCCGTTGTTGGTTATCGTGTTGACGCCGGGAGTTGGGAAGGGGAACTTGAAGTTACACATGCTACGCACAGCAGCATATTTTGTACATTTTCAATTCCTGGGAAGTAGAAAGCAATAGTTGCAGTTTGCCAAAGGACTCGGAAGATGTTGTCGATCATTGTAACAATATTAATACCAAAGGCCAAAGCGGGAACAAAGCCTGCGTGTGAAAAAGAGGCGGAAACAGTCCTGCTGCTCTATCGATCACATGTCACTCAAAGTCAACATGGTTTCGGATATAACCAAATGACTGGCAACAAGTCAGCCAGAGAGTGCATGGCGCTGAGTGAGATCAGCATCATGCCTTCTTGCCCCAACCTGATGCAAGCGCGATCAGCTCTCTGGCATGTCTATCCCATCCTCAAAATGCTAACCCACCTGTACTCATCTGCGTTTCTCTGCTTGTCTTCATCATCGTCATCCGTGTCTTCCAACTGCGTACCCTACCTGTGCGCAGAATATCAACCAGGATCAAGCAAACGAACGGACGTATTCCCTCTCCCGTCCTCGCCTTGTGGGCATGATACCTGTTCTCTCAGAGATCGGATGACCCATGGTGACAACCCACCGCGACGAACTGTCCCCCAGATGTCGAGAAGAGAGCACTTCATGTCCAGCTAGGTGAGCATTCTATGGACGAGCAGATGCGACCGCATCAGGAATAGGGATGGGAGCCCGGTAGAATAAGCAGTTTCAGAATGGACGCATTTGCTCTAGGACATAGGTGACAGAACGGCCAAAGGAACGGAGGGGGGCACCAAAAGCGAGCAGCGTTCGGGTTCGTGTGTTTACACAATCATGCAGATCCTGCATGTTGATGGCACTGTGCAGTGTCGCTCTCCTGAACGCTGGCCAAACAGCAGCTGTATCCCTACGCTCACCCTGTACTGGCGAACAACTCGGGTCAGCACACAGTCTTGCTAAGGCTGACGAGCGCACTCTCAGAGCACGCTTTGGGGACAACATGGTCAGAATAAGTGTGCGGGTAGGACTGCTGTGTGGCCGAGGAACAGTCGGTCATTCATCGCGATCATGCCTATTCTACCTATCGAACAAGTCATAGGTCTTGGTATGTACGCTGTACCCGTCGCATTTTGGAGGCAGCTTATATGGTGTAGTACGTGCTGCTTCCAAGCAGCATGGGTCTCCGTCAGGGGATGGGGGGTTAGGTACAGGTCACCTTGCCCAGCAATTCAGGTCAGGGCAGAGGCTGGGTGCTAAAATACCAGCCTTCTTCATTGTGAAAACATTCTTATTCATAATTGGCTTGTTTGTGCGCACTAAATCACAGGGCAGAAATTACTAGACTAAGAAGCTTTTGCCTCTTGAAACATACCAGGGTACAGGGTAATCATCTCATCTTTATTACTGCACGTACCGCAGGTAGTCAAGGTGATCGGACCCGGTCGGCGAAAGTTAGTTTCGATCCATAGACAGTCGGGAGTACATATCGAGACCACTAGTTCTGAGTACATTGAACCCACCCGCTGGAAGAGCAGAGCGGAAAAGAGGACTGCCTGATAATCAACATCACGTGCCCTGGAAAAGAGATGTTTCGTGACCACGGCATTTCCCGAGAAGCTCTTCTCACAAAAGCGGGACTAGTCTGGACAACGTTCAATAACACCCTTCAATTGTCCACGGCGTTACATGTTCAATGCACGCTATCAGGACAGGCTGGGACAATTGTACTCCTTTAGGCTAACTGTACCCGCCCCGGCGCTTCTTTTTCTTACCCTCCGTTGTCTCGGAAACCTTCCAACCACAAGAAACCCAAGGTTTGATTTCACTACTGACAGGAACTCTAGCGCCATAATACTAGTACACCGTGTACGATTCCGAGTGCATACTCGTACTCACCGATACATAGAAAGAGAAAGAGAAGAAAGAGGAGTGCAACCTTAGTGCATAGGCGGGTCATCGATCAAATCCGGTACGTGCTCACATGGTCTGACTACGCTTCTTCAACCCCCCACCCCAGCCTATCGTCCAGCTTCGCTGCATCTTCCGCCCCACCCCGGTGGTGAGCGGCACTCCCTTGCCAGCGTTCCTCCCCCTGCTCCACTCCTCCAACCACCTCTCCCTCCCCTCCCACTCCCACCACGGCTTTAGCACCGCTTCCACCAGCGTCCGCTGCCCTTCGTACCTCCCATCCGCAGCTTGGGAAAGCAGGTGCTTCGGGTCGAGCCTGTCTAGCTCGTAGAGGCAGACGCTGTCGAACCGCGCGGCGGAGACGGCGTCGGAGGGGAAGAAATCCGGAAGTTTGCATAGCATGTATAGGGGGAGAATGGCCGCTCCTTCCCAGTCGATGATTGCTACTATCTGCCCTTCCTCGGGGCCTTGTGTACGGACCATGATATTCCTGCATATACATTAGTACATGAGTCAAGTCGCGAGTAGAAAGAATGACGCACGTCGCGTTCAGTTCCGGGTGCCAAAGACAGAACGTCCTCCCCACCGCGTCCGGAGCGCCCACATGCGGCAAGGCATGCACGATTCCCGACATGGCCTCGTTAGCTCTCTTGACCGCCGCGTCTCCGCTGCGCTCGAACCTCTCCTCCACCAGCTCGGGATGCTCTTCTAAAAAGCGCATCTCCCAGCGCTCCATCGCCTCTGCCCACTCTCTCACACTCGGGAAACTCCGCCTCACGCTCCGGTAAGAGGAAGTCGTCATCCTCGCCATCCGATCCGTACGGAAGAGGGACATGCTGCCGACCCCGAAGTTTCCCGCCGTCTTGTCTTGTCGCACGCTGCCGATATGCAGGAAACGCATTTGAGACAGCTGGAAGATGATGCGCGCGTATTGTTTTGCGAGTTCGTCTTTGGCGAGCGGGGACAGGGTGGGAAGCGCGAGTGTAAGGGGGACAGCGTTCGTCTAGTATGCACAGTTAGGTAAAGGTTAGGAGGAGATGGAGGGACGTACGACATGTTGCATGATGATGAACGTCGTGCCTAGCAAAGCGAGGCTGGTAGAGTACCCATAAACCTGAGGGATGGGCACGCTCATCCGGTCTCGCACGTAGAGCATCGTCTCGACCTACAACGGTCAGTATATCATCAATAGGGAGGAGGGGAGCGCACCTCAGAGCGCATGCTTATCAAGCTCTGAACTTTCTCGGGCCTTGAGAGCCTGCACAGCACGCTCGTGGGGATATTCGGATCGCCGCGTGTGCGCAGGCGGAAGATGTATATCTGTGCCCTGGTGAGCGTTCGCTTGTAGGGAAGGAGCGAGGAGAGGTACCTGATTGTATGTCCCCTCTACGGCTTTGTCGAATGTCACTTCCTTGACTTCGAACAGCAACTGCACGATCCTCCGCATCGCCTCCCTTTCGAAAACATCGTCTTCCCCTGGGCTATCCGCGTCGGATCCAGAGGTGGGGAACAACGGCGGTTGAGGGTTCCACGTGTCCAGCACAATCGGCGTTCCGCGGTACTTGAAGTCCTGGACCTGTTTTGGCGTTTTAGGGCGGGAGAAGGAGGCTGTGGGGGAGAAGGAGAAGGAGACGGGAGTGGTGGGACGGGTAGGAGGGCGGGTTTTCGACATGGGCGATTTTAGATGAGGGGGAGGAAGAGAGTGAGAGTGCTTGGGTGTTGGAGGACGGGGGGAGACGAGTGATGGATACAGGGCTGGGGATGCGGCGAGGTGATGCGAGGCGGTCGGCATGCGTGGAAAGTGCGCAGCGGGTTATCAGTTATTGATGGTTGTCGGATGTGAGCAAAGAGTAGTAGTAAGCAGTACTAGCAAAGGGCGGTGACCGCAGTGCAGATATGAGCAAGGTAAGGGCGATGCAGAGTGTAAGAGTAAAGCAAGAGGCAAAGGGCCAGTCGTGCGCCAGCGTATGTTAGCAACCCGACATGTTTGAGTAAGAGGCTAAGGGTGTTCGAGTCAGAGGCAGAAAGAGCATCAATCCTTTTCCAGGGGAAGTGTATTAAACCCCCGTGGATGGGCAGAGAGTGATATGGCCGGCCGAGGGGAGATACACGGCGACGATGGCGCTGCAAGAGGATAACGAGGCACAGCTTAAGGGGGAAGAAGACACGAGGAAAGAGGTGGAGAAACGGATGACGATACCTCTTTTTATTTTATTTCTCTCTTTCCGTGGATTCACCCGCGGTGTTAATCAATTCAACACGAGTTCTTTCAGAAGGAAATTACGGCGGTTGCCGGCCGGATTGCGCGCAGATCGGGAGAAGCGGATCGGCGTGGGAAGGGCGACCCTGACCGACCAATAAGCAACGGTCTATCCTTTATATGACCATCCTCCGCCTTATTGTCAAGTTCATTGTCAATTCACATCAACATTCCATTGGTAGAAAATAATCAACAACACTTCCATTCCAGGAGAGCTTATCGAACCAAAAACTCCTATCCACTGATCATACTCTTCCAACACCCACCCCGACAGCGCCCGCTCGCATCCCGCTTCCCGGCTAAGTGTTCCCCACCCAGCATATCGGTACTTCCAAATCCACGCCCCACCTTCCTTCACTTGAAAATGCATCAAATCCCCATCCCTACAAACACAGCTCCTGCACTCACAGCATCCCCAGTCCGACACACCGGGGAGGGTGTGTAATATTCCCAAGCACCTGCGCCGTGACGCGTCCCTGATTGGCTAGGGAGCGCCTCATGCCCGGAGTGAGGATGACTATAGGGACCAAAAGCAGGAAACAAGCTCACGATTCAGTCCGTGTTTACAGGTGCCGAGCCTTCCCCTTCATTATTTTTTACCGCACGTGCATCTTACTTTCTCTCTCTGCGCGACAGCTCGTCCGATGTTGCACTCCGAGACATTGTCTCATCATCTCCTGAGCACCAAGTAAATTATATTGAGCCTATGGTCTGTAGAATAACAGATGCGTCCCGCCCACGCAGCCCATGTCCTCGGTTCGCACTCGTACGCATACGCAAGACGACACCTGCATGATCAAGAATCGCATTCCCATTCCTGTCCATCAACCATTACGCCACGTCTGACGAGGTTCCCACAGTCCCAATCCTGACAAGGCAAAATATTCAGTCCGCCCAGGCCTTGCCTGCTTGAAGCGGCAACAGATCCCCGCCTTCTCCGCTCCCTATCCAGCCTTCGAATTCCCCCACTGCGGCCTCTCCCTCCCTCCCAATACTGCTCCTGTGTGTCGGTTTAGGTCCTCTAGAGGAAGTACCGTTCCCGCTGCCTGCTTTCCGTAGTTGGTGCACAGCGGAAGGCGCGCTTCGCGTACGGGAAGAACGGGAGGAGAGGGAAGGCGTACTCGAGGAGCCGTCTTCTCTCTGTGAGCCGGGACGGGATCGGCGAGATCGAGAATACAAGCTGCCGAAGTCTCCTTCGGGGTCGTCTTCCTCTGCCTGTGTGCTACCTCTGCGCTGGCGCGGTGGCTGCCGAGGCGGTTGTGGTTGTGGTTGCGGTTTGGGGGAAAGTTGAGCGGAAGGCGCTGCTGGTTGGGTGGAAGTTGTCGGAGTGGGCGGTGGGACAGGGACGTGTGGGCGGGAACGCGTCAGCCCCGAGCTAGGGAATCCGCCACGGGAGGGGACGTTCGCAGTAGAATGCTGAACAAACTCTCCAAAACCCTCCTCCTCCCGCTCCTCCCCTTCCGCTCCAAACGCCTCCCGGTCCGTAACAGGTCGCGTCCCCTTCACAGGCTGGAAATGCTCCGCCGCTAAACGGGCGATGTCCCCTGGCGTGAGGGCAGGCGCGTCCTCCGCATCTTCGAGGCGGAGCGACCCCGTCGACAGAGTAGGGGCGTGCGATTGCCAAGGGTGAGCGCGGGGCTGAGTTCGCACTCCAGCGAACAGGTGGGCATCGGGTTCGGCTTCTTGGTCCTCTGCGAAAATCCGCTTTCTTCGACCAAAGAGTTCCAACCCGCACAGTTCTACGCCTTTACCCTTTCCCTTCCTTCCCCGCTCCCTCCCAGCACGCGCACGCCACCCCCCCTCGCTCCTCAAGCTCATGGCATCCTCGTCCTCCCTCCCTCTCCCTCTCTCCTGTTCTCGCTCCCTCTCTATCTCCACCTCGTCACTATCTCCTAACAAACCTTCGAGCTCATCCCGCTCCGCCTGTATGTCGTCTGCTCCACCTGGTCGAGATACGCTGGGGAAACAGGAGAGCAGCGGGGCGAGAAGGGCGCGTAGCGTGTCGAGGGGTGTGAAACGATCCATCTTGCTCGTCGCCTAGCTTGTACTGGCGGTACAAGATGATGATGCAGCACAAATATTAGAGTGAGGGTCGATGGACGGCGAGGGATGTGCAGCAGAAGTTCAGTGCGCTGACTGTTGAGGCGACCGCGTGTGACAAGGCGAGGAAAGCAGACGCGTGGCATGTGATTCTCTGTCACGCTTCTTATGTCACCGGCTTGTACCGGTTATTCCCTCTCTGTGTTTATCGCAAGTATTCTTGAAAACACCTTGGGCTGGCATTCATATTCCATCTCATGGGCATAGTTGGAGTTTACGACTGATAGAGATAGCACACAGAAACAAAAGTACAACACAAAGCGACAAACCAAAAAACCCATCCCTAGAACCAAACAACCAATTGAGGAAACAGAGTCAAGCTGCCCCATAGGACGCTCCCAGAGCTCTAGCGTACTACCTCCAATCTCCTCTCCTCCTCTTCTCTGACAGCAAACACCCACTTCTGCTCCCAATCCGCAAACTCTCCTTCCTCGATTTCTTCACCCCAGTATCTCCTCCATCCCCTCCACTCGACCACTACCTTCCTGAGCTCAGGACATGCAGGAAGAAGGAAGTCTGTCAGCGCAGTGTGCGTATGCGAGAGGGGGAAGACGTCATCTTCTGTTAGGTCGTCGAATGCTGGTGTGGGTGGACAGTCTTCCTCGTCCGAAGTAGGCGGAGAAGCTGATGGCTCCCAGACATCCCTCTGACAGTGCAGTACGAGCTCCTGCAGCCCCTTCAGTTGAGATATGACGGCGAGCGTTTCCATCTACCCACAACTCAGTTTCCCAGAATGAAAGAGACAGTGCAAACACACCAGTGTGTCCCCAACATAAACTTCCAGCTTGTCCAATCTCAACGCGGCTCTCACCACCTCCTTCACCAGCTGAGGAGGCATGATCCCCTGTCCATGTCCTCTCACTTCGATACACGTCCCCTCCGGCCAACTGGGTACCATCTCCAGCCTTCGGAGTTCCTTCGCTTCCCCCAAAGCGTTGAGTATTAGCTCCTCTATCTCTCCCGTCCCGTCGCTGTCTTCGACCAAACACGTCCCCGCGCTGGGGAGGTATAACCTGAGACCTCGAATAGGCCGCGAGTGGCATACGTTAATCACGTCCGTCGGCCTTCCTGTGTACTCTTCTAGGAGCGGGATAGTACCCTGTTCGGGGACGAGGAACTGGGAGGATACATCGAGTGTCTTCAGTCCTGGGTGGGCACCAAGGAAAGGGCGCGCATCGAACGCCCATTCCAGACCTGGGAGGGCGCCGTCAAGGATGAGCGTGTGCAGGCATGGCAAGCGAAGCTTGTTGAACGACTCTAGGATGATGGGCGCGATGGCGGACATGTCGGAGATCAGGGTTTGCTCGCCCCGTTCTTCCCAGTCTTCGAGCCAGGCCGTGAAGCGCAGCGTGCGGAGAGGGGAACGATGTGGTGGGATGGAGGCGAAGAAGTCGGAAAGGGCGAGGAGAAGCTGCGCTGTGGTGCCTTCTGCGTCTGGTAGGGTGTCAGCTGCTTGCTTGTGCGGTCAATGAAAGAGCGACGTACTCAGGAATAGATGCATCCTCAAGTGCTTGATCAACAGCACTAGCCGTTGCGTCCTGGTTAAGGTGTCAACCAGTGCGAGAGCCGTGTCAATCTCCTTGCTACTGCCGCTGAAGGTGATGTCCATATCCCTGTACAGGGCGGGAACGAAGACGCGGTACGCGCTTCGGGAGACGAACAAGAGGGTGTGGAGGTCTCGCTTGCTGAGGTAGAGCGCGATGTCGTCCAGGATCTCGAGCGGTAGATGGGAGAGAGTGGCTCCACGACGTACGCCAACGCTCTCTGCTACTAGGCTGAGCATGATGCCTCTGGGCGGGGGAGTGACGGTGCAGATCGCTGGTTCACGGGGTGACGATCCAATAAGCCAATGAGCTGATGATGATAAAGGGAGATCGAGTACGTCCACGACCTGTTCCTTGATCACTTAACATCGTAATGAGGCTGGAAGATATTCGTCGCTCCCAGAACCGCACAAGATAAGAGAACCCTACCCAGACCCAGCCAGCACGACTCTTACAGAAGCTCTGCTCGACTTTGGCAAGTGCGGACGCTTCTATGATTCTGAGGATTTCGGGTTAAGCGGCCGCAGGGCACTAGTAAAAAGGCCTGGATGTGGCCTCGGTGGCTGCAAAGGTGGTCTAGAGGACGGCGACCGGTGTATTGGCCGTGGAGCGGGGAATACGTGGCCGATGCTGTAGCTCCAATAAGTGAGATTGACGACACGTAGGCGGTGTGTGTTTCGCGCCATCATCGCCCGCTCCATATCTGTGCGATGCTCCGAGTCGACCCCACAGCGCGCTTAAACCAAGGACCAGGTTTCAAGCCAAAGAGAGGCCCGAACAAGGACCGGAATGACCGAAAGATGTTGCGCATTTGGTGGAAGGATGCTAGAAGAGCTTTTTGATCCAAAAATGACGATATGACGTGAGGTCAGAAGCGCGCATGAAGAAGAGGCACTGGATCTTGACATACCAGAATAGTCATGAGCGTAAACTTGGTGGAAAAACGCTCTTCCTAACGCGCACCGACGAGGTGCCTTTCATGGAATATCAAGCAAGAGAGCAGCACCTTCAAGCAAACGAAGACGCCGAACAAGAAGACAGTGAGATACACAAAGGATAAAGATGGGGCGGGAGACACAGATTATAAGTACAAACCAACGAAGAGATGTTTGTTGAAAATCTCAAGCAGTACCCGGCCCTCCAGAAGACGACCCTACTTGTTACGGCAGTCGGTATCCCGGCCTGTACGAGCGCCCAAAGAGAGTTGTGCTACGTCGACACATCGCCCTATCCATTGCCAGGCGCCCTTCTAGCCCTTCTTACATGCAGACTCATTTCTTCCACGCAGATCCTTCCAACTCCCACACAGCCCCATCTGCAATCTTTTCTCCCATCCAGTCTTTCAGCGTCTCCCCCACTGCACCGTGCTTGAGCGGGTTCACCTCGTCGATCGTGGTCCCTTTGTACCGTTCCGCCATGCGCGCCTTCGGCGTCACCCAGAGTTGCTCTTCTGGCCGTCTTTGAACACTGAGGAACCTCGCATCGATCTCGTGTCCTGCTCCGGGGTAAAGAATCCGCAGATGCTTGACTGAGGGTGCGGCACGGAGCTGCCCTCCAACCGCGAAAGCGACTGGCTCTTCCCAATCGAAAGCGTTGAAGGCGATGGCCATCTCGCGAACATTCGGGCAGCGACGAGATATGAAGCACTGTTCGGCTAATATCGGATGATACGTGTGCAGCACGACACGTTCCACGTTTGGCCAAGCGGTCGAGTTCTCGGGGAACCAGTAGTGTGGGAACGCATGGTGAGGCTGAGATGCGAGGGAAAGAGTACGCAAGGAGGGGAACGAGAGTGTAGTCATGATGCCGTTCAGCACGGGGAGAGAGGGGTGACCAATGGGCGTAACATCGGTTGCTAGGGTGAGATGCTCGAGAGTGGGAGCGAGCAGCTGAAGGAGGCGAAGGAACAAGTCGGGCGGCTCAGCGCAGGGAAGGGGTCGGCTAGGTTGGCGATTCGGGATAGGGATGGTGTTCCAGGGTGTTGGGGGCTGCGAAATCGAGAGAGAGCGAACCGACTGCCGTGCATTAAGGTAGTTAGAGTCGATTATTAGAGGCAGAGCACTTGGTGACGGCAATGCGATGTCCTTGTACAGATAATAGATTGCACGCGCGTGCACACTTCGATTGACGAGTGCGAGAGCGCACAATGTGCGCACTATGCACCGTGGATGAGTGCCTGAGAAGGCGTATTTGAACAGGCACATGGTATCGATAATCTCGAATATGATGTCGAGAGGTAGCCTAGCTCCATGTTCAATACGACTTGATGGTGTAAGCGACGACATGGATACACTCGATGCTAAATGCCGTGATAAAGCTGCGACGATGAAGGGAGGCCGTCGTAACGCGACTGCACTCGCACAGTTATGGTCACATTTCGAGACCGAACAGCGCGGGGTAAGATTCCGGAAGACTCGCACTCATCACCGGAATATGTATCAGGCGTCTAGATGTTCGAATGACGTAGAAATGGAAGATTATTAAAGATTATTACCGCAAGTTCAAATAACTCACCAGTAGGAACGGGAATGGACCAGCCAAGCGGGCAAGGTAGCGCAATCAGAGACGGTCGGCGTTTGCACCGCCGCCCAGCAGGTGTGTGCATGTCTATGATCTGAAACAAACCATGGGAGTTGAATAACCTCCCTAACATCTCTGTGCACATAGCCCCCAATGCATTGATCAACAGCTCAAACAGTTTCACTAGAGCTCACACAATGCCGATATCAATAGCAGAGGTGTGGACAGTATGTTCCCAAAGTTGCAGGAAGAGTTACTGGGCTCGCAAGAGGTAGGGTCAACCAGGCCCTCAAACGCTGGAATGTCACACGTCCGTCCCTTAGGTCATGGGTCAACAAGAGGGCCTGAACTCCTATTATTCAGTACAGGTGCTTCAAGTGCTGAAAGTCATGCCGAGAGAGCAGAGGGTACTGAGCATACAGATTTCTAATACTACAAAATATAGTATGTACCAGAAAAAAGTGTTCCACTTCTCTAGAGCAAGAAGTATAATTGTAAGTAATGTATATATGACTACCTAATTGAGATCCATGGCCTCATCCGAGTCCACCAACTCTAACATGGTCTTGTTTGAGTCCAAGGGCATGGTCTCCTCTTTTGCTGGTGCACATGGTGCTACCAGTGCATATGGCAAACTCTCCATGTTGTCATGTAACCAGTGACAGAACTGTGGCATCTCTGCATCAGTCATGGATGTCTGGTCAACACCCTGCATGAATGCTATTATCTGGGCTAGCACCCACAACCCACAATCATGGCCATTCTGTTGTTCTGGGACCTAGATCATATTTAACAATATTCTCTGCCCCAGGGGGGTGAACACATGTACTGAGGCTGCATGTGCTTCCCAGCCTACCCATAAGCACCCAGGCTGGTCCTGGGAAGATTCCTTGGCAATTGCCATCACCATATGCTTTATCATCTGCATGTCTAATCAGTACTGGCTATGTGAGATATCCATGAGGACACACCGTAACAGCCAACCTCCAATGGTGACACAGTGAGTCATATATAATGATGTGGCATTTGACAAAGTCCACATGCCCCAGAACCCAGTGATTCACCATGTAGAGGGGGAATAGTCACTCTGAATGTTCCCAGCATGCTTCCATATTGAACACATTTCAGTGGAGTTTCTTAGCAACATGCTTTTCCATCCACTTCCTCCTCAAGTATGTGTCAAAGTCAGGCCATGCATAAGAGGAGAAGACTTTGCAACTAAAAGCCTCTCCATTCTTTTTGCTGGGGGGGGCTTGGTGGGAACTATGGGGTCAGAAGCAGGCCAACCTTGTTGGAACAGTACAACTGTGTTGCTGATGTTCCAGTTGTTCAACCAGCCAATGGTATCTCTGAATTGTTGGATGTCCTTAGCTACCAGAGAAACCTGGTGTGTTGCTCCCTTGAATACCTGTTCATCCCTGTTACCATGACCATGATTGATGGTGAGGTCAATGATGCCAACAGGTGGATGCCAGTCATCTGAATGAAGCTACCATCCACCATGAGCTATTGGGTGGCACAATGAGGATACTGACTTACCAACACCAGTTTCTCATCAAAAACAACAAGGTCTTTGGATTCATTGAGAGGTTTCTCAGGGGGGGCAGGCTTCTTGACAGGTTCTTTCACCTTGCTGAAACCAAGATGAGGGGGGAGAGGTTCTGGGTTCATGACTGCTGGATCCTCCCAGAACTCCAATGGACAAGGAGGAGGAGGAGGCATAGGGAACTGGTAGCTATACCAGCCCCCCCCCTCAAAAATGAGAGGTCTCCAATCTTCTGGCATTGGCACCAGCAGCAGTATGCAGTTCAGATTATCATCATTGCAAGTGCTGGGATCAGAGGGGTGGTAAGGCAAACCCCTATGAGGTGGAGGCCAAAAGGCTTGCCGTGGTGGAGGTGGTGGTGGAGATGGAGGGGGAGGTGGTGTTGGAGTGCAAGGCAATCTTGGAAGGATGGGGATGGGACTGGGAGTGCAGTACAAGCCGAGGGAGTCAATTGGTGACACTGGGTGTCAAGTCAGGAATGCAGGAGTAGCACTGACAGGAGGAGGGGGGAGGAGAGGGGCAGTATTCTCAGACACAGAGGTTTGTTCTGGTCCCTCATGCTCCATGACAGCAGCCACCTTGATGTCCATGATGGTGTCCTGCTCTGGGGAGTTCTCTTGCTCCAGGAAGATGTCCTCCTCCTCCCACAACTCCTTCTCCTGCCATTCCTGTTCCTGCTCCTGCCGCAGCTTCTCCTGCTGCAGCTGCAGGGACTCCTGCAGCTGTTGCCGGACCTGCTGGCTATCCTGCTCCCACAGTTGCTGCTGCTGCTGCTCCTTCCACCTCTGTTGCACTTCCTCCAGCTCCTGTGTCACCTGGTCCAGCTCTGCCTTCATCTCCTACATCTCTGACACCACCTCCATTGGCTCATCCATCTCTCTGCTGAGGTCTCCATGTTGTGATATCATGCTCTTCCTGTTGGCATCAGAACAAGCATGATCAAGAGGCACTGCAGCTATGGACTCAGATATGACATGGTGAAGGGAGGGCAGTTGTGCTTCCATTGTGATGTCACGAGCAGGAGAGGGGTAGTGGACATAGCAATGCCTTTGTGAGGGCAAAGCCAAACAACTTTGGGTATGGTCACACCTGTGACAGCTGTGGGGTGATGGCAAGGCTGAGCAGCTTCAGCTATGGTATTGCCTTCAATGGCTGTAGGGAGAAGGTGACCTGGAGTACCAAGCATGATCTCTACATCTGTGAGGAGCTGGTGATCTCTCCCTCTGATACTGGTTTGGAGATGAATATCTGGACTGGTTTGATTGTTGTGGAGACCAGTGATGGCGACCCACTGGGTGGATATTCTTCTGCATTGCAGAGCTTATGGGATTGTGAAGTCGAACAAGGGGAGGGTAGTTGAAGCTGTCTGGCAATGGGTAGGCTATCTCTCATAGTTGCCCATGAGGCCACCAACCTTTATCCGGAATGCAATTTGTGCTGAACTCAGATGTTTGGTAGTTCTTTGCGGGAGAGGATGGGGAAAATGATGGCCAGGTAAATGGCTCAAGTTTGCATTTGGGAGAGGCAGAGGGGGCAGGTGCTCTGGGTCTGTTGTCCCAGTCATTGTCAAGGACTTTTTGTTGCCAAAGTGCCATGCCCAGCGTGCCTTCCCATTTGCAAACAGCTACTGCCTGCAGAGATGATGGCCAGCATACTTGTCATTTGGCTGCCATCTGTTCCAGAATAGGGAACACCGCTAGCAGGTTGGGCAGGGCAGACTTGGCTTCCACATGGTACTGGAAGGCATCATACATCATGGACAGTGCAGACACTTGTCTCTCAGGCACCATGCAGGATTCAAGATAGGTTATGCCTGCAAAGAGGTTAGTAGTGTTTATAGTCAGAAGGTAGATGTATGCGCACCTTTCTGGAAGATGAACTCCCTGCAGTACATCTGCCAACAGAGAAGGATTTCCCATTGTTCATACATGGTTAGGATATGGTCCTCCAATGCATTGTTGAAGTCCTCCTGCCTTTGTCTTCTGGCATATGATGGTGGGCAACACTTCTTGAAGGTTGTGTTGAGCAAAGGCTTAGTTGAGTCCAGTTGTGGGATTAGGTCAATGTCGAGCTGGGTGAGCAAATAGTCAAGGCTCTCTGGGATGACAAACCAGTCTGCATTATCAATGGTAGACATAGTTGAGGAAAGGTATTGTAGGTTCTTGTAGAGAGGGAGGGGGAGCATGGTGAGTGAACACCATAATCGGGAGTTCACTTGAGAGGGGTATGACACTCATTTTCTTCACGCACATATGGCTACTTAGAGTGCCTGAGCAGTGCTTGTGGAGGACTTGGTTTGGGGAGGAGGGTAAGGAAGAGCATTGTCTTGCATGCTAGTCAAAAACCTCAAAGCCAAGACACCTGGTACTCCATGTGTGTCTGGCACCAGAGCTGTCCCTTGTGAAAGGTACACGCTCTGGGGAGGGGGGGGGAAAGGGGAGGGGAGGGGAAGCAAAACAGCATTGATGTTGTCAAGGGAGGAGATGTTGAGGAGACATTGAGGAGACGAGAGGAAAGGAGACAAGAGGAGACAAGAGGAGATGAGAGGAGATGAGAGGAGAGGAGAGAGAGGATGATGATGACAACAAGGTGGTGGTGGTGGTGGTGGCGAGGATGAGGTGGTTGTGGTGAGAAAATGGCAACTCACAGGCCACAGGAGCAAAGGTCACGTGAGTGTGGGAGCAAATTATCACATGCACAGGAGCAATAGATGTGGCTTTTAGGACCAAAGAGCCATGTCATCTTTTGCTTCCATGTACACATGATTTTTGCTCCTGTGCACCCTCATGAGCTTTGCTCCCATGGCCTGTGAGTCACCATTTTCTCACCACCACCTCCTCATCCTCACCACCCCCACCATGACCACCACCACCTTGTTGTCATTGTCCTCTCTCTCCTCTCCTCTCCTCTCCTCTCCTCTCCTCTCCTCAATGTCTCCTTCCTTGATGACATCAATGCTGTTTTGCTTCCCCTCCCCTCCCCCTTTCCCCCCCTCCCAGAGCACATACCTTTCACAAGGGACAGCTCTGGTGCCAGACACACATGGAGTACCAGGTGTCTTGGCTTTGAGGTTTTTGACTAGCATGCAAGACAACGCTCTTCCTTACCCTTCCCCCCCAACTGAGTCCTCTGTGAGCACCGCTCAGGTGCTCTAAGTAGCCATATGTGCATGAAGAAAACAAGTTTCATACCCCTCTCAAGTGAACTACCAATTATGGTGTTCACTGACCACCTTTCCTTCCTCCTGACTACTCCCTTCGATATCCTCAACACCTTTGAGCTGCATCCAAGCACTTGTTGTCCTCTGCTATGGTATTTGCGACTGCAGCAAAGGGCTTCCACAATGCACCTACTCATGCAGAAGATTCAAAGATGTTGTCAAGAGTCAAGGAGTCACAAGATGATGGTGAGTTTGCCTTTGGCATATACATTCTCATCTTACTGACATCACAATATGATAGACATCAATGATAACTCTGTGATGCATGCCCTGTTGGGAGCAATGGGTATGGACAAGAACCTCAGTGAGTAACATTATGCTGCATGCACAGTATATATCCTGATCATTCTCAGTTCCACCATATCCCCCTTCCACCGGAACCGTCAATGAGCTCCTAGTGGCCCCACACAAGACACCTGTCAGCTTGGAACCAACCCTCATCAGTGGCCATCAAGACAGATTTTGACTTTCCCTATTGTCAGTCAAACAGCTCTCCTGCCCAAAGTTTGACATCCCAGTCCTCACTCCTCAACAACAAAAAGATATGGAAAGGTGGTATGCTGAACACCTTCTGGAGGGGAAAGGTGTTGAACCCCATGACCTGTGCTGGGACGTCAACCAGCATGAATGCAATTTGCAGACACATTCCATGGAGGACTGGACAGTTTATGCCATGGCATGGGACCTGAAACATCCCCACTGCCCTTATTGTGAAGGTCCACCTGCAGATCCCCTCAGCGCAAAAGTTCATTGGGTGATCCTGGTCTGCAAAGCTTTCTCAACCATGCTGTTGAAGATGCACAAATCTGGAATTGTTCATCCGTGATGGGTCAAACATCTCAAGGCCATGCATATGTACTTGCAGCGCCCTCTTTTGGAGAACCTTGCTGCTGTACCAAACCACGAAGTCAAGGAACTCTACAAAGAGTTTGCAGGTAGCTGGTGCTGTGCCATCAATTGGCAACTCTTCTAGATGCCAATGTCTTTTGAACAAGCTGAGAGAATTTGGCTCATTGCCCAGTGCAAAGTGCATGACCTTCTTGGCATCGCAAACTTTGTGTTGGTACAGTAGATAAGGAATTATGCCTTCACTCCCCTCAATTGGCCCTGGACATGTAATTTTGTTGGTGTTCTGTATGACACTGTTCCTGAAGCACATTGTGAGACACTGTTGTGCAATGGAGTGCCAATGCTCCACTTTCACACTGTCAACACTGCTGATGAGTGTTTGACAGATGCCTGGGTCAAGCAACAACTGCAGATCCTGAAGCAAGTGTCCTCTCCCTGCATGCAAGCACAGTGTGCTGTACATGAAGGCCAGATCCATTGTCATGATGCACTCAATCTCAAACACTTGAAGAATGCGAACCAACCCAGCAAGCATCAATGCAAACATGCTAAGAAGCACAAAGAGGAGACAGCTATGTCTGTGGACTCGCCGACTGTCTCTACTAGCAACTCTGTCACTGCTACAGGCAACATCATCAACTGGGATGGTGCCAGTCAGGTATGTTGCAGCCTTCGAGATCAATTTGGTGCTCTGGGACCCAGCCCATTAAAGCTGCCAATAAGGAACATGCCTTGCATCCAGAGGTTCAAGCATTGATGCCATCAGGATCCAGCTCCCGCTCACCTCCTCCACTGAAGGAGAGCATTCCCCAATCTTTTGTAGACAATGGTGGGAAAAGAAGCATTCTGCCCATCTCTGAGGATGTCCAACAGCCCCCCCGTGGCATAGAGATGGTGGCTGCGCAGTTATCTCTCTCAAGTGTGGCAGCTGCAGTGGTGCTGCTGAAGCAGACTATCTCATTGAAGCAGTGGTCAGCTGAGCAAAAGGCCAGAAGGCAAGCAAACCATCTGGAGAAACAGCAAGAGCTTGAGGATTGTGATATTCTCCCCCACAAGTAATGTAACTGGCCAATATATATGTATCATTCTCTGCATTGCCCTGTGGACTGACATGTATGATATGTAATACTATCCCATCCCTCAGTGCATCCCTGTCCCACTTCCCCTGCCCCTCACCCCAAATCCTACCTGCTTCCCCATGCAATTGAGCTCAAAGGCCTTACTCTGTTTCTGCAAAAGGTGGCTTGCAATCTATGATACACCAGCAGCCTTGGTTATCCTGTATGTGACCCACCACAGCTTTGATGGCCGAGATGTCAAGCACTTGCATTGCCATCAACCTTGTGAACACCAGAGCTGTGCCATATGGTGGGGCTTCAGTATCTGCCTTGCAGAACTTTATGAATGCAAGCTCAAGAAGGACACTTTGAATTGGC